CGGGCTTGATATCCACGGCATCGGCAATCGAGATTCAACATGCTGTAAAGAATTTAAACAAAATCTACCCCTTGATAATAGATCCTATCGATGTCGGTTCACATATAAGTGACCCAAAAAGGAGTAGATTTTGAGGCTCGTAGGTATCAGCTTGTAACTAACTTTTGAGCTTAGAATGCCGCTTTGCATAAGGATGGGTTGATGATATACGCATGAAGTCATTTCGGTGAAGAATTAGAGAAGAATCGCCAGAACAGCGAAAAGATTAACCTTGTCTCCATTCCCAGACCTGTTTACTATGGTGAGTAGTGGATTACCAGTGATGACCGGCAAGCGCTTCAGTCGCCCTGCCTACAAACAGCCCAAACCATACGGTTGGCCTGTCAATACTTTCCAAGGTTCCTTTCACCGGAGATGCAGAGGCTTCCACAATTGGGATGAGAAGATTATCAGATCGATCTCAATTAAAGTAGTGCAATTGAAAATTAAGCAGAGTTACTACAAGAAACAGGTCAAATGAGGAAGGTATCAGCTGAGATGGTGTTCGAATCACTGGTAACACCGGATGTGTCTCAGGAAAGCATCCTCCACCGATAGCGATCTACATTCGATGCCTAAAGCTACAGACATCGAACTTGGAGAACTATAAGTGTGGCCAATTTCAAGCTATAAGAGCACTGGGTAGGAGGTCATTCCATTGTGCCCTAAATAGTGAAGCCAAACAATGCAAGCTCCAAGAGGGTCGTCGGCTGAGTCATCAAAATTGGCCCCAGCGCCGGCAAGAAAAGGGAAAAAAGGGTGAAGCTTCACGGAGATCGCGTGAGCAAGCTTGATCGAATAATACAAATACTCTAACCGATCCCATTTCCCTAGGGATCCATCGTCAAATTGTCTCTCTTCAAGTGTGCGAGCCTATTGCGGGCCCGAAGGACGACCCCGCGGGTCCCATCGTTAACACCGATCCGTGCCCCTCCTCGAATTTCTTTTCTTCCATCTCCTCCACGCGCATTCACCATGGCGACCGCAGCTGCCCCCGAGTCCTCGCTCCTCTCCCTCCTCTACCGCTCGTACCCGGCCGCCATCTCTCCCGATGCCACCGAGCCCGATTACCTCCACGCCTCTCCCAAGATCTTCCCCACGGTGAACTTTGGTGAGGCGGATGACGCAGAGATCAAGTCGTGGCTGAACACCGTCTCTGGCCTCAAGAATGCTCAGGCCAACAACGATGAGGGTGTTATTAGCAGCATCCTGGCCCAGGTGAACACCCACCTGGCCTCGCGCACCACGCTGCTCGGTGCGAAGCCCTCGGTCGCTGATATTGCGGTCTATGCCCTGCTCGCTCCCATGGTCGAGAAGTGGACGCCCGAGGAGCGGACGGGGGAGAAGGGCTATCACCACATCGTTCGCCATGTCGACTTTGTGCAAAACTCCAAGCTCTTTGGCCTGCAGATCCCCGAGGAGGAGAAAGTCGTCATCGACGTGAACGACGTCAAGTTCGTGCCCAAGCCCGTCGACCCCAAGGAGGAAAAGGAGCGCAAGAAGCGTGAGAAGGCCAATGCCCAGAACCCCGATGCTGCTGCCGAGAAGCCCCTCGTCGTCGGCAAGGGTAAGCCCGAGAACCCTGCCGAAGCTGCTGCTGAGGCCGCCGCCGGTGCTCCTAAGACCAACAAGAAAGAGAAGAAGGAGAAGAAGGAGAAGCAGCCCAAGGCGCCCAAGGCCCCTGCTGCCCCTGCCCTTCCTCCTTCGCCCTCCGTCATCGACCTACGCGTTGGCCACATCCTGCGTGCTATCAACCACCCCAACGCCGACTCTCTCTACGTTTCCACCATTGACTGTGGTGACGCCCCCGGTACCGACAACACCTCCCTGGATGAGGAGACTGGTAAGACCGTCCGCACTGTGTGCTCCGGTCTGAACGGCCTGATTCCCCTCGCCGAGATGCAGAACCGCAAGATTGTTGCCGTTTGCAACTTGAAGCCCGTGACCATGCGTGGCATCAAGTCCGCCGCCATGGTTCTGGCTGCTTCCCCCCGCGTTGAGGAGGGTGAGGACCCCCACGCCGGCCCCGTCGAGCTCGTGAACCCCCCTGCCGATGCTCCCGCCGGTGAGCGTATCACCTTCCAGGGCTGGTCCGAGGGTGAGCCCGAGAAGCAGCTCAACCCCAAGAAGAAGCTTTGGGAAACCTTCCAGCCCGGTTTCACTACTACCGAAGACCTCGAGGTTGCCTTTGACAGCAGCGCCGTTCCCGTTGCTAAGGAGCAGGAGGGCAAGCCTGCCCTCGGCAAGCTGGTTACTGCTTCCGGTATCGTGTGTACCGTCACGAGCCTGAAGAACGCTTGTGTGCGGTAGAGGGGATGATCAAAGGTCGCCTGAATACATCATACAAAATTAAAATCAATGTCACTCGATTGCATACCCACGAGAGATGAACAACAAATGGCAAAAATGAAACCACTTATAGTATCGGTCTAGTTGTCCATATGTTAAAACGAGGAATGAATTGCTTCAATTACAGTCAGCCATCTTGTATGGTAGGAGTCACGACCCGGTCGAGGATAGTAGTTAGAAAAGAGGTTTTCGCTTCTATGAACAAGTACATCTACAATATTTGCAAAACAGCAGTAGCCCCTCCTTTGCAACTTCAATCACCATTATCATCCCCTAATACATTTTCACAGTATTCTCTGACGCACACCTCTTATGCCGGCGACGCAAAGCCCAAAGACGGACCTCGCTGGTCGAAAACAACGAACAGAGCCTTGAGGAAGACATCGCCAAAGATCTGCAGACTTGAGCCCTGGTTCGACTGGATACCACCATAGCACACTAACAAACGACAATTAGCTTCCCACGCTGAATGGGAATATTCACACGGGTCGAGAACTCACCAGTTTCACCAGTCGTCGTATTCTTCCCAACCTCCGCAAAGCTCACCAACGACCCGGGAATAGTCGCTTGATACTTATTACCCAGCGCCACGGTCAAACTAGGCAGACTGGCCGAGCACGGATAAATCCAACCGCTCACACTACTCGAGTACGCCGCATTCTCGACCTCCTTATAATAAGCCGTGACAACCTCGGGGCTCACCAGCATAAGCGAAGTACCAGTATCCGCAATAGCCTTGGGCACCTGAGTAACAGTCTGCAAAGACCCACTCCCAACGGCGAAATAGCCCGCCTCAAACTGCCAGAATCCGGCAGACGAGTCAACGCTGACGTTCACCAGGGAGCCGGTGTATTTGCTAGAATCGATTTTGCCAAACTCG